GGCCGTGATGGGGAAGGAGCCGTCGGAAACGCGGGCTGAAGGGCCCTGCCAGGCCCCTCTGCAGACCAGGGAGGGTTGGACGGGCACTCCCAGCAGCTCGGCTCACAGGAGAGCACAGGGATGTAACGGTGTGATCCCTCCTCCTCATCTCATCACTTTTGGGAACCACAGCACAGTTTATGCTGGAGTTTTCCAGATCCTGCTACCAGCCACAGGCTGGCCTGGCAGCCCACTGCCTGGCCTGCAAGCTGCAGCCTGGCCATGTTTGCAGCATAGGGAACGCAGCTCTCATCCTGTTTGGTAACCACACTCCTCACTCCTTTGCTGGGGCAGGTGCCGTTCATGCCATGTCAAGACACTGCTGTGCACGGGTCCCCCCGGTGAGGCTCTGCCTGTCAACCTCAGTGCTGTCTTTCCATCCAAGTCTGATGTCCTGTTTCACAGGGAACAAACATTTCTGCCATAGCCTGTTCCCTCTGCACCAAGGAGGTGGCACGTAAAGCCAGCAGCCATGCGGGAAGCTCCGTGCTACGACAAGGAACTGTGAGACTGCAGGGGATACACATCCGAGCAAAGGCTGCCTGATCCTGCCCACTGCTCAAACTCCCCCACTCTGCCTTTCCTGCCACCAAGCTGATTCTAGTACCTGTCCTTAAAAATGGCAGGATGCAGCTTAGTATCCATTCCCTAGTCCTAATCAAATACATATTTTCTCTTGTAATCTTACCATGGGCTTAGGTTTTCAAGGGAAACAAGTTACCAGGGCAATTCCATTAGAGTCACTGAAGGTACGCCTGAGAAGAACATGTACTTCAGTATGCCCATTTCCTTACAGTGCTATTTTTTAGCTAAGCCCCAAGTTTTTGGAAGTGATGTAATGCACCCCAAGCCCCAAAAATAAACAAAGGGAGAAGTGTAAGTCTATTGGAGTGAGTAAAAATGCAGAGATTGGTTTACTCTCTTTTTTTTCATAGCAATATCTTTACAGCCCTTCCAGAATGCACAGCTCTTTTCCTCAGAAGGAAGATGTGTTGCTATTCATGTTGTGCTATTTCACACCCATTCTCCAACAGATGGCATATATCCTCACCTGTTTAGAAAGAGATGTTTTAAATAGTTTTGCATCTTAAAAATAGATTCTAGCTATCAAAGGGATTAGTGATGCCAGCTCACAGGTTGTTTTTTTCAAACATTCATCCCCTATTTTTCTTTATTATTGGCATTAGATGTTAACCCTTGGGCTTAGGCTGTAAGTATGGAACTACTGTGGGTCAGCCTGCCAGACAGGATGGACAAACTGATTTGTAATTTCTACGAATGCTAGGCATGGTACAGGTGTTTGGGTATGTTGATATGACTGCCCACCTGTACATATGAATACATATGTCATACAACAATAGAAATAAAACATTATGTTTGCATTTAGAGATTAGACAGAATTGAATCTAGGATTCAAACATCTTTGAGGTCCAGAAGTAGAACAAAATGCTACAGCTAATTCCTCTTTCTGTAAAGGGCTATGCTAAAATCTGAATCCTGGGGTTGAGAGAAGCCTGGCTGTTTTCTTGCTTTCTTGTTTTATTTGAAGAGCACCATGACGGCAAAAAAAAGGGGTGTTGAATTCTGCTGTGCACGCACAGCTGTAGCAACCGCCTTCTGTGATTTTCATCCGATTAATTCCTTTGTTTCTATTCAAGAATACACTTTTGTGTGATATACAGCCAGTGAACAGCTATATTGTTGCTGCCCGAGCCCAGAAACTTTCAGCTATTTGTTGCCAGATCTGTAAGGGGTTTGAAGCCAAATGGGGACAGGATTCAACACTGAGGAGGAGTTAGAGCATAGCTGATAGCTGACAGGATTCAGCACTGAGGAGGAGTTAGATCAGCATAGCTCATCTTTAGTAAAATAAGAGTGAGGGGTAAAGCTGGAATTAATGCAGACTCTTGCAGTTCTGTGTGGACTGCCTAGTTCTCTACTGGACAAGTCCTAGAGGGAGAAAAAAAAACCATTTAGGGCCTCTTCTCTCTCAGTTGTAGCAGTGGGGAACAATAATGCTATGGAGAGCAATGCAGTCACAATGCCATAACTGAGAAAAAAGCAGCTCACAGACCTTTATGATTTCTACTTCAGAAGAGAATTTCTCTTACCATTAGAGTGTAGAGACTCTCATTTAATGTAATCATGGAAGAGCTCTGACTAGGCAAGCTAGGCTTCAATAAACAATTCCATTCCTTTCTCATTTTGTTCTTCATCGATAGTGTTAGGAAGAAACACATGTTGACTTTCTGCAAGTTTGCCCTTCTCCAAAACTGTCACCTAATTTAATCTAACCCCTTCTGTCACTTAGGGAGTACTACACATTCACTGGTACGTGTTCCTACCAGGAGAGGAATGAAGCACATCTTATTTTTCACATTTAATTCAGAATTTTTGTTTCTGTTGTTGCCATGCAGTTTGTCAGCCATGCATAATCTCCTGGCAGGAGAAAACAGAACAAGATAAAAAGAAGCAGTGTATTTTGGTTGTAGCCCTTAAAATTTTTGATTCAAGCAACGTTACCTGGTCCTATTGCCAGTGAAAATAAGAAAAGTGCAAAAGCATAACACATTAAGTCAGCCCAGGAAAGCAAAAAATAAATTACATGGAATGACATCCAATACTAGTTGCCCTTCTAGCAGCAATTTTCAGATTCAAAAGTACGTGGAAACTACTGAGTGCTAAGAAACTCTTAACAAGCATCAGAGAATCAGAGCCGAAATCAGATTGTTAGCTTACAGTTGCCATAGCCATGCAATAGGCTACGCAGAACACAACTGCAGGATCTGTGTCCTTGGTGAGAGTACTAAGTCCTTTCCATCAGATCCCCAGCCTTCACATCCAGCTATTGCTGTGAGCTGTTTTGGGCACTGTAATAATTTGGAGGTCCTACAAATTCCAGGGTGTTACAGATGACTTATGTAGGAGTCATCACCAATGGGAGACATTCCCCTGTCCCTCCTCCCCAACTTTTTCTAGGGCTTATCTCTAGTCTTTAGCCACAGCTGAATAGAGAATGATTTAGTGAAAGAGCAGTGATTAAGGACCATGAGGAGACCAAAGTCTCTTCACCAGACAACATGCCCAATGGAGAATCTTATACTTTGCTGTCAAACTGTCCAGTCAAGAAAAGCCTCTGCTAAGTGTGAGACCTGGACATTATTCTTAACCCTCAAGAGATACGAAGGAGTTGTTCTGCCATAAAAATATGTGAACTGATGGAAACCAGAAGTTTTCCTGAGGTTTTCCTAGGTCTTTGAAATAATCCACATGCAAAATTGTTTTTTAAAGTACGTTTCAGGTTTTCATCTGTTCAGAATACAAGGTGGGAGAGAACTCCGCTGTACATTTCATGGCAATGGTTCATGTACAACAATAGCAGCACTGGATGTACTAAGAAAAAAAAAATTTGTTATTTATGTAGTAATTTAATTTTATGTTAGTTCTGCCTTTCAGTGTGCTTGAAGAGTCACAAGTGAGAGTCACATGCAAACAGAAAAGGGCAGTAGAGAGTCCCTAGAGTGTGACACAGATAAAGCAACAAGGAATCTAAATGACGTCAGACATGGGTATGTAGGTTAAAAAAACAAACCATGGTTTATTTAAATGTGTAAAGTACTTGGAAGGGGAAAAGATTACATTGTACTATGGCAATACAGACAGCACATACCGTAACAAGCTCATTCATTGTTATGAACTCAGGCTACTCTTTCCAGACTCTTCATCTGCTCAGTCACACAGATCTTTGGGAGAGGCTTGCCGGCAGTTTCTCTAGGGGACTCCACACTACAGATTAATCTCAGTCAGAATTTGCTGTCCTGTTTCTGTATGTCAGACTCAGGAGCAGAGCATCATATTCCCACCAGGAGAGACTGGCTAAATATGGCAAAACTTCTCATGCACTAAGACCCTCTGTCATGGGTTAAGTAAAAGTAGCCTGATGGAACATCTGATCCTAGGACAAATTACCAGGCTGTCTGCCTTAACCTTCTCCCAGACATGGCTCATCACTTGGATGAGAAGCCTAAAGCAGCAGAGACTGAGAGAGATATTTAATATAGTTATAAAATGCCATTTGCAGTTACAGCTTTTTATTTCAGGTTCTTCTCAATCCAGTCTTTGAAGAGAAGAGCTTTGGTGTAGCCACTGTAGAGTTCTAATCTGCAAGTTTTATCGTAACCCCAGCTCACTAAGCCCATCAGGTGCCACCTTAGCTCAGGAGATGCTTTTCCTGGCAAAGTTATGGCTGCAATCCCACCAGTCTCAGCCGGGCAGATATTAGAAAAGGCTGTGTGGTCTTGTTTGGCACAGAACATGCTGTCAGTGATGCTGACTTGTATCCCATTATCCTCATACTGTTGCTCACACAACAGTGAATCCACCATCTGAACAGCTCCCATACGGATTGTGTCATTCTTGTATGTGGGGTCTTTAACGTCAGCCAATAGCTTCCATCCAGTAACCATTATTTTTAAATCCTCTGTGGATGAAATCAAGTCTTGAGACGATGACAAACAAATGGGTTGAACACGACTGCTGATTCTGGCTTTGTCCAAGAGTTTTATGATAGCTATGTCAGAATCAAGTAATATAGGGTCATAATTGGGATGCACTATGATGGCAGAAATCTGGGGAGGAAACAGAGTAGGAAGAATTGTAGAGTTAATAGCCATGGCAACTCAGTAGCACTCTTTTCATACTACTATAATACATGTTAGTTTACACTACACTACACTCCCAAACTGTTCTTTCACCATAATGCTCACTCAAATGAGAAACATGCAAAGAGATCAAACATCTTCTGACTTTTTTTTTTTGGCTTGGGTTTCAGGACAGTTTTTATTGCATGAAACTCTTCCTAATGAAAAGCGGTCAAGGACATTTTCAGCAAAATGGGGAGTTAATGTGCAGTTCAAGTTTTTTCACTGTTTACTGAAAAGATTTTACCTGCCACGTCATCTTCAGCCTGCAGAATGTGAAGGCTAGGGGAGAGGGGAAGAGCTTTGAATTAAAATGTTATCTTCTTATTGAAATGCAGCCATCTTCCTACCAAAAAAAGAATACTAGCAATACATTACATGATGTTGGGGCCAAACATTTAGTGCTAGTTACCTAGATGAAACACTACAAGAGCACATTACCTGAAGAAGCAGCACTATGTCTTTGATAAAGCGTACTATATAGGAAAAATGCTTCGCAAAGATAAGTAAACAACTCATCTGCAAAGTTAAAAGAAAGAATAAAGAGAGAAAAAGAAAAAAAAGCAGTGCAGGCAAAGTGGTATACGTTTTCAAATGATGTTGAACAGTAGAGAACTAATAAATAGGCAAAAAATAGGAAGTGTGTTCCAGAACGCTGCAGAAGTATTGTAAAAAATAATATATTTCCTAACAGGAAAAGTCTGAAAAAAAATGGAATTGAAAGAAACTAAAAAGGGGGGGGGGGGGATGACGGGATCAAATTAACTATGATTTCTTGAATAAAATCCATTAATTAACTCACATACACCTCCCCTCTCCAGAAAGAGACACACAGAGCCAAAATTACTGTATTTCTCCTCATTTTGACTTCAGCCTTTCTAATTCTACTTGAAAAGAACAAACCACTCCGATGAATCTGAGGTGCTATTTTTGAAGCTGGAGCTAGACATAAACTTTTGAGTTTAGAGTTGCACAGCCTTGGGGCTGAGATGTTAAATGTGCTCGTGACATCAAATCAAGATCTAGAGGACAAGTGTTTCCCTCATAAATTATCCTAATCACTTTTGACAATAGCTGGCATCTCTTATATAGTGGCAATATTACTCAAGATATGATAGCCCATGGAACCTGAGCTATTTTCTTAGTGATCTGTGTTAGGAGGTGAGCATGTGACTTGGACAGTGTCAGGGAAATTTAATGAACTACAGCATGTGTCCTCCTTGAGCCATAACAGTTTTGTCAGTTGAGTCTCTAGAGATGCATTTCAAAGAACAGTGTGTAAAGCAATATATTCCTTAAAGGATAACCTTTTTCTCCTCGTACAAGACAGATGTGATCAGCATCTGTCTGTGATCATCATTTTCCACTCCCAGCAGATGTACTCACCCGCAGGTTCTGGATGGTCTTTTCATCCCTATCATCATCTCTGTAGAACTTCCCCAGAACCACCTTGAGCTCTGCTGTCTTCAGCACAATGGTCTTGCCCAGGTCAGTAACGCAGTGAGCTGCCACCACCACGGTGCGCTCATTCACCAGGGCCCCACTGCAGATAAGGATCCAGGCCCCTTTCCGGAGACTGTTGTCCTTTACCCTGTTGGCAGTCCGATAGATTGCCGCTTGCCAGGGCCACCTGGTAGAGGTCACAGTCTTCTGAAGGGTGATGTTTTCTGCTTTTCCACAGACTGAGGAAACATGAACCAAGAATGAGGTAACACCTTTTCCCCACCAAAGAATCTGAATGTCACTCTTGATTCCTGCTCAGGATGTGCCAAAACAAAACAAACTGCAACGGGGACAGCTTTCTAATAAACCTCTTGCTCCAATCTGCAAAATTATACTATAAAAGTATTTTATACAGCTTTTTTAAAAAAAAACTTACAATTTTTCCATTATTATCAGAATTCCTGGCTGAAGTAGGAATGTGGATTTAGTACTTGAGCAGGTGAATTTTCATGACAACCTGATCAAACTGCACTATAATGAGATGACTGAATAAAGAAATTGAAAGAATACCCCTGATTCTTGCTTATAATAAAACACCAGAAAGCCAGCAGTGCACTAAAACTCACCCTAGGCAGTCACAGAGTAATTGTGAGGTCCTCTCCCAGAACTGACCTTAGCACAGATGAGTTTATGACTATGAGAACAACAAGAACCTTGAAGCAAATGCATCTAAATCAACAGCCATCCTGGGGAAAAGAAAATGCTCTGCCCTGTTCTAGGAATATAATACCCAGGCTCGGGCCTGGGGTAAAATCTACTGTATTAGGAAAGGTTTCCTTTAGTTGAAAGATTACGTCTGTCCTGGTTCCGGCAGGGATGGGGTTAATTTTCCCAAGGAGCCAGCAGGGGACACAGGTATTCCATTCGATGTGACCCATGCTCAGGTTTTGGGGGGAAAGCTAGCCGGGGGAGGGGGCAGGAAGTCACGGCTTGGAGCAGGCTGTGGAGGTCCGGGTCTGGTCAGGGAGCGGTGGCACTGTAATCGCGTTCGTATATTCCTTTTCTGGTGTTACTGTTAGTGTTTTCTCTTGCTTTTGCTGTTCTGTTAAACTGCTTTTATCTCAACCCACGAGTTTCTGCCTTTTTTCTTTCAATTTTGCCCATGGCTGTGGGAGTTGCGCGAGCGGCCGCGTGGTTCTTTGTTCCCGGCTGGGGCCAAACCATGGCAGTCCTTTTTGGTGCCCAACGTGGGGCTTGGAGGGTTGAGATAACAATAGATCTGACTAGAGCTTGTTAAAACGCATTTGTTATATGCATTCCCTCATATTAGTTAGATAGTCGTCGGTTACAATGCTGCTCCGTTTGTTTGTGTGGCTGTGTTATGTAAATTCTTACATGTCCTATATACTCCCCATGATGCTGTTACCTCGGGGAGAGGGATCAGGGTTATCATTTTGCTGTCCTGTGCAATATCAGCTTATGATATGATAACATCGGTGTTCAGATGGCTATGTTGGGGAGTTTATGCAGTACTGCTGTCCTGTCCATACCTTGGTCA